CCCCCCCCCCCCACACACACACAAGCGAACGGAAATAATTTTATACTTCAACATTTTCAGAATTACAGGTTTTGACTTTTCATTTCAAAATGATCTTTTCATAACAAAAAATTGCCTATTTTTAAAAGGTATAAAAGTCCAACTTTGGGGGCTGACCTAGAACAAAATATTTCCTTTTCACTAAGAAAACCAAAGAATTGTTTCAGGCCAATACAGAACAAAAAAAAAAAAAAAAAAAAAAAAAAAAAAAAAAATCTCATTTTTCAGTTTGACCAGCAAACTGAATAATCAATTATCCACAAAGCTCTGCTCTGGTCTAGTCTAGTTATGCTGGCTTTCCCTGCTGGCAGCAGCCAAAGCTTGCCTTCTGTTAGGGAATTACATGCATCTGACATGACAATAGCCAGAAAGTCACTTCTGACTACTGTCCCATTTTAAAACCAAACTCAACAAAAGCAGAGTTGCTACAAGAACACCCCAAAGCTCACTCTAGTTAGGACAAGAGTAGACAACTGTGTCTTTCATTTTCATGGTGACAGTGAAACTATTTCCTGTCTATCTGTGGTTTGGTACAATCCGCAGGGATTCTCTGTTCTGATGTGAAAAACCATTCAGAAGAATAAAATCAAAAGGATTTAAAAATAAACCATGGCAACAAAGTATCTTTACAGAATGTAAAAATTGCAGCTGCTTTTTTGCAGTAAATTAATCACAGAAATCAGAACTTTTCCCCACTTCATGCAGTCTCAAAATAGCAACACGTGAATAATTTGGAGGATCTGAAATCCCAGAACTCCTACCAGACAAGAGAGGCCTGATGAGTCAATCGCCCAGTGATTGTCCTATGAGAAACTGATTGGATCATGTCTAGCTAAAACAGGCAATCATTCCGTTTGGAAGAAGACTCCAGCCAACTCATGTTTTCTTTTTGCCTTTCAAATGCTCCATCAGGGAAAAGGTTGTACCTGTGTTGGTCTAAGGACATAGGCAGACAAGGTTCTTTGAGTGAATCTGATATCTTTTATTAGACCAACGTAAATAACTTAAGCTGGTTAAAAAAAAACCAAAAAACAAAACTTACATTGGTCTAATAAAAGATATCAGATTCACCCAAAGAACCTTGTCTGCCTATCAGGGAAGAGACTCTTTTGAGGTGACATACATGGAACAGAGAAAAATGGGAGTCACCCTACTTTTGAAAAGCCCTTACTGAAGAGCACTCAACCAGATACTCACTCTTGCAGAGATCTGTCCAGATCTTCAGCATTCGCTGTACCTAAATCAGAGTCACATGATAGAGGCTCCTTACATCTCTCGGGGCTTCTAGGACCATTACCCTGAAAGAGGCTGTCTGAGCCAACGCTGGAGGAAAGCTGGGATGAACCTATTGTGTTAAGGCTCAGTGTGGAGCACGTAAGTTTGCTTTTGTGTCCATTTTTACTGATGGGCAGTATTGGGGGTTGAACTTCATCAGATCCTGAAGACTGAGAGATTGAGCCCAGTGACTCCCTCCTCCGGGGTTCAGAACTGGAGGATGTGAGTGGCTCTGGAAGCTCCGAAAAAGGACAAAGACCAGACAAGGACAAGGGCGTTACAGTCCACTCATTTAAAACTGCTGATTTATAGGACAGGTCGAAGGTCAATGATGTTAATCCCTGCAAATAGCTAAGGAGAAATTCACACTCTTCTGCATCCAGTAGCAGGGCTGTTGACTGATAATATTCAGGCAGCCTGGACTTTTCATTTAGCAGTAACTTCATGTAACACTCCATGAGGCCATCATTCAATGCAAGCCTTAGCCAAGCACGGCAGCGGCCAACATCAGTGTTGATAAAATGTAAGTGCTCCAGCTCTGAAATTATATTTCTAGGGAGAAAAAAAGAACAGAACATGTGAACAGGTGCAGTTTCCAGAAGCATCACAATGTACATGCTTGTATGAGAGACAGGTACACGTAATCAAAGCAAAGACTACAGGAGGGGCTGGGATTGGGAGATGGGTGGGCAAGGTAGCTCAAGGGCAGATGATGATGCAATGTGTGTGCATGGAAAAGGGGTCCTTAGAGTTCTTGTATTTGGCCTGCAGTCCATCACTGCATTACTAGCTGTTGCTCGCATTTCATTCCTCTTTTCTTATCAAGAGGAATTGGGCTTACTGAAAACTGATAAAGCCATTTTTTCCACACAGAAAATTGGTGTTTTGATTTTTGTTTAGCACAAAACGTCCATTATACACCCAAACACCAAATGCCCCAAAGACGAATTATTATCATTTGGAAATGATGCTGCTTTCTGACAGTTGTCCTGTATCCCATTCTTCTCTGTGACACGGGCTTTCCAGCTGGACTACATCTAACATGAGACATAGCCTCTCCTTTCCAAAAGTAAGGGAGAGGAGTTGGGGTGAAATCCCACCACTTTGGCTCCTGGTATGTGGCTAGAGGATTTTCTCTTATTTACAGAGCTGGGTATTCATTCATAATGGCAAGGAACAAACCTTTTTTTTTTTTTTGTGAATGACAGCTTAGAATTTTCAGACTTTTAAAATGTGACAAAAATTGCTGACACTCAAAAACCCCAACCTGGATCCATGATTTTGTTTTCTAAATGTCAAAGACATTTTGGTTCAGGTTCTGGGAGTGTTTTGTTGTGGTGTTTCAAACTCCTTTGTATACATGGTTCCAGCTTTAGCTCCTGCACATGCCTGGCATCTTAACTATGAAGCTACCACAGGACAGGACTTTGCTGTGGTCACTCTCAAATAACTGATTAAAAATGTTCCTCCCTAACCCCCAACGAAATCCAAAGATAGCACTAGTTCTTGAGAACTGGGACTGCAGGCAGAGCCAGCTTTAGAGAAACTAATGCCCTAGGGGAACCTGTATTTTGGGGGGAACCCCCCCCCCCCAAGTCAGTGGTGCTGCTGCAGGCAGAGGCATGGGGTGCAGTCCAGTGAAGAGGCACAGTGACATGATGTGCCAAGCTGGGGCAAGCACCACATGCACTGCCTGGCCTGGGTCCTCCTGGGCAGTGGCTGGAGGCAGGGGGTATTCTTGAAGC